CTTTGTACCGTCCTTGATTGGTCAATGTCTTAGGAGAATACCATTGGGAAGAGTTCCCATGTCCGTAATATTGCAAAACATTACGCCCCACAACTGTTTGATTATTTCCGTAAATGTATGTACTTAATGTATCTTTCTCGGTTTTATTTTTCAACATATAGAATTTCTTTTACAAATAAACTTTGCCAAAATTATAATGATTTGTCCTGCCCATGCAACCGATTTCATAGATACACAAGCTGCAATTAAAAAGGAGAACACCAATTTGGGCTACGTACATTATGTGAACAGATACTGACAATAATTATTTTGTCTCTGGGTAGAAAATACTCACAGTAGACAGAGGAAGTGAACAATTTCATGGGAACCTCCCACTGACCTTAGTAATAATAATGTTATGCTTAATCGTTATCGTAACACTCAAATTTACAGAAAATGTAATTCTCCAGTAATTATCTCCCCCGACCACTCTCTCTCTCTCTCTCTCTCTCTCTCTCTCTCTCTCTCTCTCTCTCTCTCTCTCTCTCTCTCTCTCTCTCTCTCTCTCTCTGTCTCTGTCTCCCTCTCTCTCTCTCTCTCTCTCTCGTTCTCTCTCTCTCACACTCTTTCTCTCCCTCCCCCTCTCTCTCTCACTTTTCTCCTGCCCCTCTCTCCCTCTCTTTCTCTCTCTCTCTCATCTCTCTTCTGTCTCACTGTCCCTCTCTCTCCATTTTCTCCCCCCCCCCTTCTCTTCCCCCCTCTCTCTTTCATGACATTTACTGGCATGCCCTTTTAGTGGACTGTTGCAATTTGCGTGTAGGAACTGCAAGCATCCATCGTATAGGAATCAAGAGTGGGGAATTTTTGTACACGAACATTTTGTCCTCTTGTTTTAGTTGTTGATTTGTTGTCTTAGCGCCCCAACACAACGTAGCTATTTGTGAGGCAGCGTGGTGGAATCAGGCTCTCGTAAATATTTGGGCATGTAGAGTTATTGGTATCATCTTAAACCTTGTTCACTTGTCTTTATTTGGATTTTAAAAATATCCACTTATCTTGAAAACAAGTTGAGATATTTACGAAAGAAGGAGATGGGGGTCACTTGTTTCCAGAGGTAAAATTAGTGAAAAAATGGCCGCCAAAGATTAGTTATTTCCTAAGCTTAAAAGTCCGTGGTAACTGAAAATTTACATTTTTTGTTCCTTTAACCAATGTTTTTCTGAAAAATCCACACAGAAATGAATTCTTTAAAGGGCATGAAAGATGTTGAGCAAAAAAATAAAGATTTGATAAAAATTCACAAACCTGCGGAAAAATGCAAGTTTCTTCACTTTCATTATTTTGACGAGAGCTTGATTCCACTACGCTGCCTCACATTTAACTGTGTTTCTCTTACGTTCATTGTCTACAACTGACTGACAAAACAGTTAGTCGGCTGCTGATTTGACAGGGAGCGGCACTGGACTATGTATTACATCACAGTGGTCAACATTTTTATTTTTCATTATAGTTGTTCTGTTCCTAGGTGTGGATGAAAATAGTCTCTCTCTCTCTCTCTCTCTCTCTCTCTCTCTCTCTCTCTCTCTCTCTCTCTCTCTCTCTCTCTCTCTCTGAGTGTGTGTGTGTGTGTGTGTGTGTGTGTGTGTGTGTGTGTGTGTGTGTGTGTGTGTGTGTGTGTGTGTGTGTGTGTGCGTGATTGTGCATTAATGTACGAGTATATTGCATGAGAAGAAAGGAAGTAGTAAGAAAGGTTTTTGAAAAATGGGTATTCCAATGTAAAGCGCGTTGAGCTACTTTTTTGGAAATGCGCTGTATAAATGTTATACATTATTTATTATTATTATTACTAAAATGAAATGGTATAGGTTTTACGCCCCTATCAACACTATTAGGTTATTTAAGAGGCGGGGCCTCCGAGTTTAACGTCCGTCTCAGAAAGGACCGAGCCTTGTGAGAAATTCGTGCAAAGTGCCTTTCCCATGGACACAACGTCGGGTACAGTGGTCAACTGTTGGAGAGATGTACTGGGCTATGTATTACAACACAGCTGGCAACTGTTGAGAAAGATCAGTACTGGGCTAAGTATTATTATATAACAGTGGTCAACTATTGGAGAGCGGTACTGGGCTAAGTATTACGTCATAGTGGTCAACTATTGGAGAGAGGTACTGGGCTAAGTATTATATATAACAGTGGTCATATATTGGAGAGAGGTACTGGGCTAAGTATTATATATAACAGTGGTCATATATTAGAGAGAGGTACTGGACTAAGTATTTCCATCTCAGTGGCCAACTGTTGAAAAAGAGAGGTACTAGGGTAGGTATCACAACTAACAGAGAGCGGTACTGGACTAAGTATTATATAACCGTGGTCAGCTGTGGAAGAAGAACGATACTGGTTTCTGGTTTGGTCCTGTGGGAAGCACAAAGAAGACCCCAGTTCGATTCCCATGTATGGGAAATCTTTATCAAGAACCTTAGTCGGTCTTTCTACCCGGATGTTGTATCCCTCTCAGCCTGAGCTGGCCTTGAGTGGCACGGTCGACACCCGCCTCCTGA